CACCCCCTGCCATACGCAGAAAGTCTGTGGGGATAAAATGATCCCAGCAAGATAAACATCCAAATACCTTTTGAATGAGTCCAGAGTAGGTGCTTGCACCACTTCTGCGGGGAGTCTGTTCCAGACCCTGAACACTCAGACTGTGATGAAGTTTTTCCTCATGTTCAATCTAAATCAGCCTTCTAGGAGTTTGTGGTTGTTGGACTTTTTGTTTCTTGGGGAGCTCTGGTGAGCAAGTGTTCTCCCAGATCCTGATGCACTCCCCTTATGTACTTATAGGCATAGGCGATGCATGCCTCCTGAGGTTGGGGGGGCATAGCAATCGCCCTCAGGTGGTGATATGGGCGGCCCCCCCCAGAAGCACTTCTCGGGGGGGGGGGGGCACTAGTTCTCTGCCTGCCCTTCTGCACGTTGCCTAAGCCAAGAGCACTCTTTCTCGGGGGGGCACCAGAACTCTCAGGGGGTGTACGTGCACCCCTGTGCACCCCCATGCACCCTCTGCTTATAAGCTGCCATTAAGTCTCCCATGAGCCTTCTCTTCCCCAGGCTGAAAAGTCCCATATCCCTCAGCCTTTCCTCGTAAGGTTCACTCTCTTGACCTTTGATCATATGGGTGGCTCTCTTCTGGACTCTTTTGAGCTTATCCACGTCCCTCCTGAACTGGGAGGCCCAAAACTGGACACAGTACTCCTGTTGTGGCCTCACCAAGGCTGAGTAAAGCGGAAGGATGACGTCCCTGGTTTTGCTAGAGATGCATCAATGGATGCATGCCAGAGTTTTGTTAGCTTTGCCAGCCATGGCATCGCATTGGTGGCTCATGTTTATCTTGTGGTCAGTTAAGATCCCCAAGGCTCTTTTGGTCATGGTGCTAATGTACAACCATCAATTCTAGTTTAAGAATGCTCCTATGGTCCATGTGCTAAGGATACAGGTCCAGTGTGGTAGTACTCCAAACACAGCAGCCTGGTGAGCTCTGTATTTGGGACTCAGCATTCTCACACTAGATATTCCAGTTTTTAGTTTATAGTTACAGCTTGTTTTCCCTTATTGTGAAGATTCTGTATGTCAGAGTGGCTATTTGAAATCCCTCTCCTACCTTCAGTCCATTAGCCACTTGTCATTCTGAGCTACATTTCTTCTCTTCTCACCAACAATTAAAGTGTATTGTTCTCAGTGGGTGCATCTACAGAAGACCTTTACGGTGGAGTAGACTAATTAGCTTTGCATTAAATGTCTCATGTCTACACATGCGGCCCTATCAGGTCACAGGACACTAATTAACTCCACAGCAGAGTAATATTTGTAAATACAAGTATTATCTTGTGGTGGAGTTTTTTAGTGTGCAGCACTGTGTGTATAGATGCTGACGCAGCTGGCTAAGGCATGAAGGCACTTCTACACAGGGACTGCCTGCTGGCTAGCACATTCTGCCCCTCTGCAGCATGTTGAACCGGGTTGGAGCAGGCCCTGCCAGCTGGGGCTGCTCCAACCCAGCTCAGCATGCTGCAGTCCCAGGCGCACGTTCAAATGGCATGCTTGGGAATAATTATTGCTGCAAATTAATTGCTTGTGTAGATGTGCCCAGCATGAGAGATGACTTCATCTAAAGTCATTAACAGCAGTTGCTCCCCATTGCCATCAGTGCAAATCCGGATCACCTCCCAGGAATGGGACTAGTCTCGATTTATAACAGCATGGGATAGGATTTAGGGCTGGTTTGCTTATATAAAGACACCAGTCACCACCTGGTGTTTCTCTCCCTTGTTCCATATCACTAAGCAATCTGCAGCACACTCACAATGCTCCTGTGGCAGACAACCCCATCAAAAACAGTAGATAGGCTTTACATTAGAGCCAACATTTGAAAGCTGTAGAAAATACAGGTGGAAGATTTAGTAAAGCAATCAACCACCTACCCCGTCAGTCTCTGCAGCTTCAAATGGAAGGCTGCTTTGCTTGTTGACAAGCACCAAAAACAAAGAGCTCTCCCAGCTAGTCAGGAGGAATGTGTGTGGGAGAAGGGGGTTGGTTTTGCTTTTATATATTTAATTGTGACAAATAACCAGGGTCTTAGCATTTCATGAATAATCTGCTCTTTGGAAGGGGAGGGGGGAGCAAGGGGAGGGGATGCAGAAAGAGTTCATAACAGACTAATAGAGCTCCAGTGAGAGGTATCAAATGTGACAAGCTGTAATCCCAATCTGGGGTAATATCCTGTAGGTTTGTGCATACTTTGCAAAGGGCAGCCTGTATGGTATTTAAAATCTTTGTAGACTCTGAATTCTAGTATGAGAACAGCTCTTAATTCATTATGCTTTGGAAACTGATAAACAGTTCTTTGGACTTTAACCGCTCGGCCTAAGCCAGAAAACTCCTGCTTCAGCTGTTCCAGGAAGACAACTGTGAGAACGGTAGATGAAGCAGAAAGTAAAGACTCATCTTATCACACACATATCAGATGGTCAAGGGATTACAGTAAAAGCCAGCTCATGCTTGAGTGCATAGGAAAATACAGATTGGCTAAGCAGCTGACTTTCACTTGATGAAAGCTCAAATTTGTTTTGGTTTCTCTTCTCTGTACTGTAGCACAGATAAGCTCTGTTTAACGTAGGCTAAAGTACAAAAATGCAAACCAAATTATGGTTTTTCATAGATACGCACTGAGGGAATTGGTGGTTTTGTACCTTTGAGTATATGAAGTGGGGTGCAGAGCTGTAATTACCATCCAAAATGTTATGCCTGTGCAGGGCAGCTGCCATCACCATGATTCACAAAGTACTGAGGGGGGGCATACAAAATAATGCTTCTTACAATATGATGGTGGAGCCTGCTGCCTGTGCTCTCCACAGGGCCAGACTCCACATTTGTGTACAGGACAAGTCAACATTTATGGTTTAGTGAAAAGTAATGCTAAACAGAACTCTCTCTCTTTATTTGAAAAAGGAGAGATCATAAGCAAAATAACATTTCAGTGCCAGTATGCTTGGTCTTTCCTGACACAAAGATCCCACACAAACTTCCAATACAAATCACTTTAAGAACAAGAAAAAAGCAAAAGTAAAGTCTCTGTGGATGCACAATGTACTCGTGACTTGAGAGGGTCCTTTGTGGGTGTAGGGACTGGCGCTATGCCAATTGTTCTTTAGCACCTACACGGTGGGTGGATGAGATTACATGGTAGAGCAGGGGTGGGAAAAATGCAGCCCAGGGGCTGGACGTGGCCCACCAAACCATTCTATCTGGCCGCTGGGCCCCTAAAAAATTTATGAAATTAATATTTATCTGCCCTGGGCTGCCTGTCATGCGGCCCTCGATGGCTTGCCAAAACTCAGTAAGCGGCCCTCCGCCTGAAATAATTGCCCACCCCTGTGTTAGAGTTATCAGGTGCTAATTCTAAGGAAGGTTAGGTTGTATGAAGGTTATAGACTCCCAGGAGGGGTGGTGCAGGTACCTACCCTGGAGATCTTCAAAAGGGGGTGACACACACCTTGCTGGGGTTATTTGACCCCAGCAGTCTTTCCTGCCCAGAATGGGGATGCTGGATCTGATGATTTCACAAGGTCCCTTCTCCCATAAACCTCTGTGAAACACCTATGAAACTAGTGCTAGTGATCAGTCACATGTTCAGAGTTAATCATTTCTGTAATGTGTGTTGCTCAGACCTGCTGCTAGAAGGCTGGTAAGCAGGGGCATGGCTAGGGAATGCAAGTCTTCTCCATGTCTACTCTGCTTGATGGCTCTCTAGCTACAGTATAGGCCAGGATATGAAGAAGGTGAGTGAAGGGGCCCCTTATATTGTCCCTTTGCCACCCAAATTACCTCACTGCCCCCCCCCATCGGCCCCCAGAACCCCCCTCCATCCTGCAATTTGCACCTCTACCCCTGGATCACTGCCCTGCCACCCTCAGTCAGACCAAGAGCTGTAGTGGCAGTAGTGGGGGGGTTCCCCTCCCTGCCTGCATCCAGGCTCCTTGCAGCCTGTGCCACCCCCACACACCTGGATTCAGCCCTCACTGGGCCCTAAACTTTCCCAGCAGCTCCTTGACCTTCCTCCTCCCTCCCTCCCCTTCAGTTTCAGGGCCCGACGGGTTCTGGATATGGGTGTGTAGAGGCAGCATGGTCTGCAGGGGCCCCAGGAGCAGACAGGAAGGTGAAAACCTGCCACTAACACTGCTGCCACTCTTGGGCTGATCAGGGTGGCAGGGCAGTGATCTGGGGGTGGGTGGCAGAGAGGGCAATTGGGCTGGCAGGAGAGTGGTCTGAGGGTGGAGAGGGCAAGGGGGGCATCAATCCAGAAACTCCCCATCCACCTACCCACTCCCCCACTTCAATCCTGCCTCTACACCACTTTTCCCTCCCTTCCCACTCACCCTATCCCTGCATACCTGTTACCCAGCTGTTCCCAAATGTCAGTCCAGGGCTGTAGAGTCCTGAATGATAGATAGTTCTCCTAGAAGCAATGCCTCCTGGGATACTGGAGGACTGCAAATTGGTGTTTTTTTCTCAGGTGAGCATCCAGAAGTTAACTTTAGTCTAGCTAGCTAGCACAGCTCAAAGATAACCCTTGCCCAAAGTGGCATATCTTTAAGACACCAGAAGGGCACTTAGCACTTGTTGATGAGCTTCAGTGTGTGATCATTTAGATTTTAAGTACTCTTAACATGGTCTAATTGTAATATATAATCTCACCCCTAGAGTGTGAAGGAGGAATGGCTGGATCCTCTGACTACCCGCTGTGGAGGATGGTCCCTTAGGTTGCACTGCCAGATGTTGCAAATTAGGGCTGTCACCAGGCTGTTCTACCATGCACCTGGAGCCATAAGTGGCTCAGTGATGTCCTGTGTGATTTGTTACTCAACAGTATTTGGCTCAGTGTGTGCCTCCTCTGTAACAGGATGCATCTCAGCCAAATTCAGCACAAAATATCTGATCCCAACAGACACCAGGTTTCTGGACATTTAAAAGCACAGCACACAAAAAACAAAGTCACGACAGCTAGATGAACCATAGAGGAGACTTTATGTTTCCCCATTAGCAGCGAATACTCATACAATCTATGTTAATGTTGACTTTTTAAACAAGCTATTGCAACATACCATGGCAACTGCAAAATGGATGAAAACATGCTATTATTCTGGTCAGCTAGTAGTGTTGTAGACTCACTTTGCCCTGGTGATAGTGTAATGCATTCACAAAGTGCAGGATACTGGGGAGCCAGACCTCAGACCTCCAAATCCAGGTGTATAGCAACCTTTGTACAGCTAATCCAGAGCATTCTGGGAAAATGTAATTATCTCCAAGCCCAGGGGTTTTTGGGAGTGAGATTATTGAACATCGGTCTCAGTGGTTTGTCTAATTTTCTGCCTACCAGGTTCTGTCAAACAACATCTGCTTTTCTGGAAGACACATGCACAAAAGCCAGTCTTCCAGGGACATGTTACATCAAGTTTTGCCAGTGAGTTCTGGCTCACCACTGGGTGCCAATTCAGGAGGTAAATCTTGAAGTAATACAGAAGGAACGTGCTGGTCCTACATACACAATTTATTCATAGTCGATTCAGGCATTACAACACATTCCTTTGGTGGGATATAAAGTCTCCATCCAGTGGCTCATATAGAGAGGATTAATGGTCTCTTCCTGAGAAGGACAAAAACCGAAGCCTGGCCAATAGATATATTTAGCCCAGAAATCTGTATGAAACTCAGTGTTTGCTTTTGTTTTGAAATACCTCTTTAAGCAAATGCTGTTAGTAAACCAGCTCAAGAGCAAAACTATTTAGCTATATATGTGGACACAGTACTGTCATCCATGTTTTGTAACTGCTTACCTACCTCTCCAAAACAAATTTCATATCACCCACTTTCCACAAATTAGCAATAGCATGTGAGGGTTAACAGAAACTGTACAGAAAACTGTGTGTTCTGTGATGATAATGTTGAATTTGGGGTGGGGGAACTGTTCCTTGCTTTAGTCTCAACAGCTTCCTTGGGTTTCTGAAAATGTCTTCAGTCTATTCCATGTTGTTGGTGCTTGAGGTAACTTCCAGTTTTAAGTGCTGGACAGTTTGGTCCTGGAGAAATGGTTGTGTAGTAATTTTTGCATGCAGTAGGTGATTGTCCAGGCAACTGCTACCATGTATTGCTTTTATTTAGAGTCCCACAGAAAGTGACGAGGCTTTGTATCCCAGCTCCACTTCTGAAAACAAGCCAGCTAGGAAGGAGATTCTTGAAAATACAATTGTTGGTTCACAGTGTGTTCTCAGGAGAGCAATCTACCCAAACACATAAAGTATGAAATACTCCCTCAGATAATCCCTTGACAGCTATCAGTTACATTTAGTAATAGTGTACGTCTCTGTAACTCTGAAAGACAATACATGGAAAGGCATGGGAAGCACATAAGTGCAATACTGCTGACAAAAACAAAACGTGCAGTTTGTCTCAGAACTAAAGTGCTGGACTTCCCTAGTTAGGCCTCCAAGAGAGATCAGAAAAGTGCAAACTGGAAGCATGACAGATGAGTTTTTATAGGCTTTCTTCCCTGCTGCCTCTTGAACTGGTGACATTCATTGAGATTAAATCCTGTGTCTGAGTGTTCAACTCTCCTTTGAAAAAAAAAGAAACAGTATTATTTGGAAAGAAAACATAGTTAAAAAAGCATTCTCCCCTCGAAGACCAAGATATTGATTCCTATTTAGATTTTGGATTCTTTACATTGCAGTGGCATAACGAACTGAATGGGCACCCACCCACTGCGGGAGATCGGGGGGAGGGGTTAAGGGGTGGCAATGCAGTCCTGATAGTGGGGGCTGCATAGCACAGGTTCTGAGAGAGGGGGAATATTGGGTAGGTCCAAGACCAGGGGCAGGGGGAGCCTGGATCTGAGAGCCTGGTGCAAGCAGCCTTACCCAGCAAGGAACTTGTGAGCAGTCTCTGCTGAACTGCTGTGTCTGCTTGCACTGCCTGCCCAGCTTTGTTGCTCTTAATGCAACAGCAGCTGGATACTCTCTGGGAGTTCCCAGGCTGGCAATGGTGCAGGACACGGATTGCATGGGGGTGGGGCATGATTCAGGCACCTAACTTGGGCAGATGCCCTTCTTGCTCACCCCCAGCTACGCTATTACAACATTACAATATACTTCAATGCGAGTTTCAAAATGGGCTTCGGCATGAACATAAATGATACGTAAGCATCTTTCTGATCCCTTCATAGTGACAGAGCAAAATAAAGAACTTTTAAGGAAAGTGAGAATCAGGCTCTTGGTATTAGTGTTGATAACTGTGGATCACATTGAAAATCCCACCTCACATTAGCAAGCAGTTACTTCGACAAGTAATCTGACTAGATTTCATAGATGTCATAGACACTAGGGCTGGAAGGGACCCCAGAGGATCATCGAGTCCAGCCCCCTGCCTAAAGGGGCAGGAAGTCAGCAGGGGTCATAGGATTCCAGCAAGATAGACATCCAAATGTCTCTTGAAGGCATTCAAAGTAGGTGCTTGAACCACCTCCGGCAGCAGTCTATTCCAAACCTTCAGGACTCGGATAGTAAAGAAGTTCTTCCTTATGTCCAGCCTGAAATGGTCATGGAGGAGTTTGTGACTGTTCAACCTTGTCATCCCTTGGGGCGCTCTGGTGAACAAACGTTCCCTCAGATCCTGGTGAGCACCCCTAATAAACTTGTAGGTGGCCACCAGATCACCCCTGAGCCTGTGCTTTTCCAGGCTGGAGAGTCCCATGGCTCTCAGCCTCTCATCAAAAGGTCTTTTTTCCTGACCTCTGATCATGTGCGTGGCTCTCCTCTGCACTCTCGCAAGCTTCTCCACATCCTTTTTGAATTGTGGAGCCCAAAACTGGACACAGTACTCCAGCTGTGGCCTCACCAAGGCCAAGTACAAGGGGAGAATGACGTCCTGGGATTTGCTTGAGAAGCATCTGTGGATGCAAGCCAGCGTTTTGCTTGCTTTGCTAGCCACAGCATCACATTGAAGGCTTATGTTGATCTTGTGGTCAATTGTGACCTCCAAGTCCCTTTCATCTGTAGTGTTAACCAGCATAGCACTGCCGAGCCTATAAGCATGCTGCAGGTTTTTCCTCCCAAGGTGCAGAACCTTGCATTTTTCGGTGTTCTCGTCTGCCCATTTCCTGAACCTGTCTAGGTGGCCCTTAATTATTTAGATGTTATTTTTAAACATGTTAAAATAAATGTAATTTACTTGTTGCCACTTATGTGTGACTGTGTCATTACATACAGATGTCAGAAGTAGTGTGCTGACTTCAACAGAGCAGCTTGTCTGCTACATCACAACTGCTTTGAGCACAATCATCATGAAAAAATCTCTTTTCCTTCTTTCATAGCTTGGACCTAGAAAGTCACTTTGGTCTGCAAAGTGTCATGCACACACAATTTTTATTTCATGCTATACAGAGCTAAATACAGCATAACACTTACTGCTTATAGGCAGTGTGGGGCATGGTAGCAAACCATCTAGGGCTTCCCACTATTGTTCCAAAGACATGAATTTAAGCTGTGCTCTGCAATCAGGCCAAAGACTACCTCTGATTAAATGGCACCTGTTCATTCAGGTTGTGGAGGTAAAGATGCAATGTTAGCTACATTACTCCCCTATGTGCTGTTGGCTACAGAAACTGGGCGTGCCTCAATTGCGCTAGTCCTATAGACCAGGGGTCAGCCCCCTACAGCCTGTGGGCTAGATTTAGCCTGTGGAGCTGCTGGATCTGGTCTGCAGAACTGGAGTTTCAGCTGTGTTCAGTGGCAGAGGATTCACCTGTGCCACATCACATTTTGACCAGGTGGCCAGGCAGCAGGAAGCTTTCTCTACAGACAGGTGACAAGGAGAAGCCATGGCAGGGAGAAGTGGCAGAGGCCAGGTCCTAATGCTGGCCAACCTAGAAATTAAGATAGGCCATTCTGGCTCAAAACATTGCTGACTGCTGCTATAGACCATTAGGATGGGAGAACTTGGACCTTTCTGTTGTTATAGCCAGCTATGGGAGACTTTCAAAATGACTCAGTAGAGGTGAACAACAAAAATGCTAAAGCCTACCCAAATGAAATCCAAGGAGAGTACTTTTGAACACAATTTACACATTGCATAATTGTTTGCAGAATTATGGTCTAAATAATTCCGTAAAATATTCTAAATCCTTATTGCTGATGCAGTTCTAGTTGTACAGTTCAGAACTGAGAACATGGACAACCATTGTTGCTCAAACTAACATGCTACAGGCCACTTCCAAGGCATTATCAGGCATATCAGCGGCTTTTATACTTCAAATACATACTCATCATGAAAAAAGGTTCTTTCCAGTGTTTCTTAAAAACACTTGATGCTGAGAAACATAGATAGTGATCATATGATTTACTGCACACTGCAAAAGATGTTTGGTCATTAAAATGAGGAAGTAGGAAAAAACCACAGAGCAGCTAACATAGCAATAGATTGTTACCTTCCTTTTCAAACTCTTCATTTTAGTGTGCTTTAGAGTAATGTCTAACATACTTCTTGAAGCATCTGACAGGGACCAGTCAAAAAAATTCTACAGCTATGTGCCAGAAAACCATGAGAAGCCACGCTATACATATGCTTAAACAATATGCATTAGGCTTATGCCTGGGCATGTATTAAAGAGCTCTGCTCCAGGTCTTAGCTTGCCTGAAGGCTTTAGTTTAGCAGTTCTGTTCTGCTTTGCATTGGGAACAATTCCACTGGCATTTTTATAGTGTTTGAGAGAGAAGAAATTGGCTGATTCTTCTTAAGCTTTCCCGTTGAAAATGTTTAATTAGGACAGCATAAATGTTTTGGTTTGGTTTGGTTTGGTTTGTATATAGTCCCAATTAATATTAGTGTATTGCCATTCAGGTTGTAGTATTAGCATCTTTGTATCTTCAGTATGCCAACTGCACCATCCTTAAGCACACTGAGGAAAACCTCCAGACACTTAGATCTTTTTGTAGAAGCCTGCTGAACTTTGATCCTCTCTCAACATGGCAAAGACTACAATGCTTTATCAGCCTGCCCTGGGCCATGAAGGTGACACTCTGTCCCAAATTACCATTGAAGGAAAGACCCTGGAGATAGTCAAGCACCTTCCCTATCTCTGTAGCCACCTCCCTTTCAGAGAGCAACCACCAATGAGGAAATCCAGAACAGGATCTGGTGCACAAGTGTCTTCTTTGGGAAATTGCTTCAGCATGTCTTTATTCATCACAATCTCCAGAAAGACAGCAAGATCCAAGTTTACAATTCAGTCATCATCCCCACTGTCCTCTATGGATATGAAAAGTGTGTATCATCAGCATCTCAGAAGCCTGGAAAGGTATTACCAACAATGCCTGTGGAAAATCCTCCATATTAAATAGGAAGATTGTTGCACAAATCCTTGCTGAAGTGAATATTTCCAGTGCTGAGTCAGTGATCCTCAAGCACCTACTTCAATGAACCGGACATTGTGTACAGATGCCCAAAACAAGTACTCTACTCCCAGCTTAATAATAGCCTGAGATCTCATGTTATCCAAAGGAAACACTACAAGGACACATTGAAGGCATACCTCAAGAGAATGGATGCTAACATCAAGAGCTGAGAGGAGCTGGCTGCTGACTGACTCCAATGGTGCCACAACTTCAAACTAGTGGCAGCTTGTTTCAAGGTAAAGCATCTTGCTCTCAAAGCAGAAAAGAGAGAAAAGAGGAAGGAAAAGGGGATATATCCTAGCCTACAATCTACTCTCTCCCACTGAAGGACCTGCAACTTCTGTAGATGGGTCTGTGGCTAAATGATTGGATTCTTAAATCACTTCAAGACCCATCAATGAGTCATGGTAAAGATCATCCTTGAATCAAGGAACTGCTGTCAGTGCTGATTAGAGTATTGGACATCTGAAGGAAATCTGCACTAAATATCACTCAGACTCACAGGGTGCGTCCAGACGAGCATGCACGTGCCTCTTGCCCCATCTCAAACCCCTTTGAGGCAGGGCAAGAGGCACATGGAGGAATGAAAAAATGTTTCCCAGACTGCTAACTTGCAGCGTGGGGAGAAAATTAGACCCCTGGATATCCAGGGGCCTAAAAAAATGCTCTGCAGAAGAGCAGAGCAAGGCATGGTCCCAGACCGTGCCAGAGAGTCAGGAGTCAGTCCTCCAAAAGAGACGCTTCGGTGTCAGCCAGAGCATCTCTTTCGTTCTCCTGCTGCCTCTGGCCCCCAGTGCTGTCCAAGGTAAGTGTGTGTGTGTGGGACGGAGGGGTCATGGGTGTGGGTGGGTGAGGGATGGCAGGGGGACGTGGGGGGGGTTTGAGGAGTGGAAGGGGGGATGTCCCTGGGGCTGCAGGGGGTATGGACCTGGCCCAGCACCATGTGGCTCACTAGTCCAGCTTTGCACTGGAGTGGGTCTCAGGGCTGCAGGAGGCACACATAGGACCAATGCCTCCCAGAGCCATGTTACCCACTCTGGTGTAAAGCCAGACTAGCGAGCCACACAGGGCTGGCCCAGGTCCCACCATGCGCCACACCCCTGCAGGCACCATGGGGCAGAGGCAGGATCTGGCATGGTGTGCAGGGACCGCATGCCATGCCCAGCTTTGTCTTGCTGGCCCTGGGGCCCCTCTGCTGCCGGGCTGGGCAGGACCAGGTGCGGCATGTGGAGACCATGTGCCACACCCAGATGGGTCCTGCTGGCCCTGGGGCTGCTCCTGTTGCCCAGCTGGGGTGGCCAGGCGGCAGGAGCAGCCTCAGGGCGGGCAGGATCCATCTGGGTGCGGTGCACAGTCTTCACATGCCGCGCTGGGTCCTGCTGCCATGGGCCTGGCCTGGTCAGGCGACTGAGGGGCCCCAAGGGTGGCAGAACCTGGCTGGGCCCGGCACGCATTCCCCACGTGCCGTGCTGGGTCCTGCCACCAAAGGCCTGGTCCGGCCAAGTGGCAGACAGGCCCCAAGAGTGGCAGGACCCGGCTGGGCCTGGCACATGGTCCCCACATGCTGCGTCGGGTCCTGCTGCCATGGCTCAAAGCACCCCACTCCCACTGCTGCTGCTAAAGGTAAGTTATGGGTGCTGGGCAAGGGATCTGTGGCCCTCCAGGGTGCCTGGGACCCTGGGCAGGATGGCTGTGGCCCTCTAAGGGGAGCTGGGACCCTTGGAGGGGGGGCTGTGGCCCTCCAGGGTGCCTGGGACTCTGGGCAGGGGGGCTTGGGCCCTGTGGGGGATAGAGACTGTGACCTTCCAGGGGGGAGCATTCCAGGTGCTGTGTGGGGGGCCTGCACCCTGTGGGGATCAGGGGACCCACCTCTCCTGAGCAGCCCTCGCACAAGGTCCCCCACACCCACAGTCCCCCCCAGCAATCACCCCACACCTACCCATACACCAACCCACATCCTCCACAGACACCCATCTGCCTTCCCCCACATGCCTTCCCACCCACTTCCTGCAAACACCACATCCCACCATCACACACCCATCATGTGCGAAGAAAACCAAAAGTACACATCAACACATATAGGTATTTAGAATTTATTTTATCATGATGATACACACTGGTAGGTTTCCACATTGCTTTAACATTGTAAATATACCAATAAAGCATTGCCCAACTGATCTCTCTCTCTCTCTCTAAATGTGTGTGTGTGTGTGTGTGTGTAGAGTGGTCTTTTGTTTTAATTGTGGAAAAACATGGATTTGGGGGTATTTTTAAAAATGGATTTGGGATGCTGCTGCAGCAGTCCAGCTGGCACAAGGGGTAGTGTCCCCAGGTACTAAGTGGCTGGGCCCCAGAAGCTCTTGAGAGTGAGTAGACCTGAGCTGCTTGCCAGGGTAGCTTTTTGTACAGATGAGGCCAGGACAGGGCAGCTTTTTATACTGCTGGGGACAGCTGGCCCCGGGCTCTATGTCCCCCTGGCTGCAGATCTGGGGCAGGGTTATTTTGCCCCAAGTGGCACAATTTGCTCCACACCAAAGTGCATATCCGAGCATGTGCACTGAGGCAAAAAGCCCCGGCTCAAATTTGCACTGCTTCTATTTGAGCTGCTGCAAGCCCATTGAGTCTATGAAGAACCCATTTTTCATGAATCCAGTTCCTAATCTATGCTTCCTCCGTACAAGCTTAGAGTCATCTTGTCACCAGGCTTCCTTCTGATTTGTCTTTTTATGGTGGGAAAATGGAACAGATTTTCAATTTGATTTGAACTTTAGAGAAGGTATGAGATGGATATTCTTAGAAACTTCAGCTTGCTTCTCCAAAGGCTATTCCCAATATTGGACCACAATCTCATATGTGCCAGAGCTCTGTTCTGTGTACTTCACTAACCCTTGGGTGTTGGAAGCAGTGTTAGCCCATGGAGAAACTTAGAGCAGTCTCAAGGATGCTCAGATGACCACATGCCCAGTTCCAGTGGCTTTCAAGAGACCATTCTAGCAGTTTGAGCATTCTAGCACCAGAAATTGTTGGAGTACTGCAACCTAGTAACCACTATCCCTCTCTCTTTGCACATCTTTATTATGATCTTAAGAAGAAGGCGGTCAAAACAAAATCAGCTACACTGACCACATGCCATGTGGCTTACATGTGTCAGGAAAATTTTAATTTGGCCAGTCAGATTCACTTGTACCCACATTATGATACAAGTCAACGTTATCACAATACACCCATTATTTTAGCTATAACCTATGAAATCTAGTCCCTCGCAAAAAACAATTCTCCACACTGATTTTCTCCTGGCTCTGTCTTCAAATTGTTATTGACTAAGAGCATGTAATGCTGAATAAACTTTATGCAGATTTTCAACTACAGTATCATAAACCTGACTATAGAAACAGGGATTTTTAGAGCTATGTTATCAGTGTTTATAGCTTGATATTGGTCTTGTTTTTTAAAGTGAAAGTTCTAGTGTGATATGGTTTGTGAATGTCTGAGATATTTGGAAACTACCTGCTCTTTACTATGCAGAAATTTCAATGTCAAAGAAAGTTATTCATTCATAACAGTTAAAGATGGGAAAAGACCTATTAGGTTATCAAGCCCATCTATTAGGACAGGAAATACTCTCCAGACAAATGCCACATCAATTCTTATACTGAATCTGAGTCAAAAGATGAAGAAAAAGTATGAACAGTTATAAATCACCACTACAGAAAACTCTATGCTTTCTGAAACGGAGTTAACTGAGCATCCTTTACAGTTCCAGACTGAAGTGTGGAAAACTCTTATATCCACCAGAAAGGATACAGCCTCAGAAGGGAGATGACTTGTACTTTATCATTTACAAATGTTGGTGTTGTCTGGAAAGCCAGGGGACTATTTTTAGAATCTGAAAAGCATTCTTACTAGGATTATAACAGCTTTAAGGAAAGTAGCATTTAGACTCTAAATTCTATAGTGTTTCCTTGTGCATTATCATGCTTTAAATGTTCATCTATTGATGCAGATGGTACTATTAGAAAGAAAAAGCCATAAACAGAAAGTTTGAAGAACTGTGACTTACTGTTCTCTTCTCTTGATAAATGAGGGATTTGTCGTCTTTTGTCTGTTAAAAGCAAATGTAGGCAAACACTAGTTAGAACATTTTACTTAAAAATTAACAATCCAATCCAATAGATTTGTAGATCCCAAACAGGTTTTTTGAGCTTATGCTTATGGCTCTTAAGCTTTTCATAGGTTTCTCCAAAGTTCTTTTCTTCTCCAACTACAGTGTCAAACCCTTCTGTTCTTTGCTACAAGAATTGGCCTATCATCCTGATTCCAACTTAGCTGTGTATTACAGGAATTAAAGCTCATCTACAGGAGAGATGATACAGTAACAAAACCAGAGAGGAATAATAGGCTACTGTTATTTGTTTTCCACTCTGTTTTTCTTCATTTGGTAAAAGATAGAAGTGGAAGAATGTAAATGAAATATAACAAATAGATATGGATAATACTATTCTAACAGAGTATGAACCCTGTGGTTCAGTGGTAGAATCCTTGTCTACTATGCAGGAGACCTGGGTTTGATTCCCAGATGCTTATGCAACTACAACCAGGGAGGCACCAAATATCTGGACTCAGTCTGGTCTTTGGATTCTGTCTCAGTGGCCAAAGGGGAGGATGGAAGATCTAGGCAGCCTCCACTCCTCCAAAAAATTCCTGCTCAGGAAGGTCTGGGTGGCTCTCATGCATACACCATGATCCAGGAGGATTGATGGTTGTCACCAACAGAATGCAGGCAACTCTCACCATTCACTGGGGTTATAGTTTCATAGTTTCTAGGGTCGGAAGGGATCTGAGCAGATCATCTAGTCCAACCCCCTGCCATGGCAGGAAAGAGGACTGGGGTCAAACAACCCCAGCAAGGTGTTCATCTAACCTCCTCTTAAAA